TGGGCATGAAAGCCAACTGGGTGACTTTGGGCCAATCACCAGGAAATGGTTAGTTCCACTTTAGTCTGGAAGTTCTAGTCCCACCTTGGGCATGAAAGCCAACTGGGTGACTTTGGGCCAATCACCAGGAAATGGTTAGTTCCACTTTAGTCTGGAAGTTCTAGTCCCACCTTGGGCATGAAAGCCAACTGGGTGACTTTGGGCCAATCACCAGGATACAGTGAGTTCTAGTCCTGCTTTAGATATGAAAGCTGGCTAGGTGACTTTGGGCCAATCACCAGGTGACGGTGAGTTCTAGTCCCGCTTTAGACATGAAAGCTGGCTGGGTGACTTTGGGCCAATCACCAGGAGGCAGGGAGTTCTAGTCCAGCCTTAGAAGTAAAAGCCAGCTAGGTGACTTTGGGCCAATCACCAGGAGACGGGGAGTTCTAGTTCCACTTTAGCCATGAAAGCCAGGTGGGTGACTTTGGGGCCAGTCCCTCTCTTTCAACCCAACCTCTTTAACCCTAACCTACTCTGCCTCCTGAACTACATGTTTTCACCCTCCTTGGGTTCCAGAGAATTCTTTCGAGCCTCCGGGAGGGTGAAAATGGCCTCCCCCCAGGCTTCAGAGGCCCTCCGGAGATTTCCAGGAAGCCCATTTTATGCCCTCCCAGAGCCTCCACGCGGGCCCTGCTCTTATCTTGCAAGATGAACAGGCCACGTGGAAACTCCTGGGAGGGGAGGGTGGGCGCGGCCAGCCAGTCCTTCCAACGACCAGTTCGGCGAACCAGATATAAAATTAGCATCCAGTTCGACCAAACCGGTTCGAACCGGCTGAATCCCATCCCTGGGCGTGGCCGACTGGGTGGCTGTGGCCAGCTTGACACCACTCCCCAAACTGCTGGCATGTTTCCGCTTCGGATTGGATAAACCGGGTTGAAGCCACGCTGGCCGGCCCCTTACATTTTCCAGGACAGCCCCGCAGGCCGGATTCGGCCCACGGGCCTTGTGTTTGACACCCCTGATTTAAACCAACATGTCCTTCATTTTTCCCCCGGGGAAGGAGGCCGTGCTCACACCAATGCTGAGTAATTAGGAAGGCACTGAATGATGGGTGTTTCCTCCTGGTCCATCCATCCTTGATACCCGTACCTTTTTTTTAACCAGAGACATGACTCCTATCCGTGTCAGGACCTGCTGCCTGGAGAGACCCTCCCTCGGCACCCCGTCGGCAAAGGTCTCCGAACCGTCCGCCCCGGGTTCGCAGAGATGCCTCATGAACAGAGAAACGTAAGCCCTGCGGAGACAGAAAAATCCAAATCTTCCATCGGTGCCTGTTTTGAGAAAGCCGGGGCAACCTCTTACGACGCTGGGGATTTCTCCGTACGGATGGATTGAAGCTCTCGGTGGAATTCAGGGCCACGACAGAGCCTGGAGGCCATCAGCCGCCCTGGCTTGGGGGGGAAAAAAAGTGTTAGGGAAATTTTCTCGTGGAATACCACCAGAAAACGTTGAAAGGATCATGCAACCTCGGTTTTAATTTCCATTAAAAGATGGGACATGACCAGTGAAGNAAAAAAACCCAGGGATATTCAAAATTGACAGCTTTAAGACTTGTGGACTTCAACTCCCAGAATTCCTCCTCCAGCCATGATGGCTCATTAACTCTGGCATAGAAGTGTGCAAGTCTTAAAGCTGTCAAGTTATAAGACCCTTGAACCCCTAACCCTTTAGAAAAAAAACCCAGGGATGTTCAAAATTGACAGCTTTAAGACTTGTGGACTTCAACTCCCAGAATTCCTCCTCTCGCTCTTCATCTTGATGATGTGAGGATGGGTGGGGGGAGGGAGCTGGAACCGGTTCTAAACGGCACGGTAGATTTGTGGAACCTCTTCTATAGAAGAGGATAGAACTGGCAGGAACCTACCCCTGGTGTGCGCAAATGGCCCGGTTGGCTGAAATACAGGTAAGGAACGCAGGCAGGCAGGTGGGCCCTCCAAAGCACCCTTCCGGTATGGTGCCAGCTGCTCCCAGCAGGCACTGGGTACGTCCGTACTGGCGCCCACCTGCCAGAACCCATCATTGGGAGAACCCATATTTTATGTAAGAAGAATCAAATCCCCACCATTTCCAATTAGATCAGAAAAAGACCATGTACCAGGGTGAAATCCTTCCTGTTCGGCTCAGTTTGGCTGAACTGGTAGGGATGATTGTGAGCTGCGCAATCATTGGAAACTCTTTTTTTCATTTTTTAAAACATTTTCTTCCTGCCTATTCACCTGAACTGGCAGGAAAAAAATGCTTTAAAAAATGAAAAAAGTTAGCCACACCCACCCAGTCACATGACACCCCACCAAGCCACGCCCAGTGGCAAAAATATTTAGATTTCACCACTGCCGTGTACAGTTAGTCCTTGCCTTACAGCGGGGGTAAAATGCTGCCGGTTTGGACCAGTTCACTCAAGCTGGTAGTAAAAAGGCAACCGGTTCGCCCAAACTGGTAGTAAAAAAATGCTACTGGTTCAGACAAACAGGTATTTCTGACGATCAGCTGTGACGCGTGATTTATATTAGCTAAAATCGCCAGATTTCCTGCTTTCTAGCTAATTGAAATTGTGTGGCACTGCGGATTCCCCCCTCCTCGCTGTTATACTTAGCTTTGCAGGCATGCTCAGTAGCAGGCTCCCCCCACCTACCCAGACATCATTGATGCTCTGTGCATGGCGGAAGGTCCTGCACATGCACAGAGGTGGTGGCACATGTGAGTGAAGTGAGTGCATGCGCGCATACGCTCACATTTGTGAACCGGTAGCGAAGGAAAGTTGATTTGATCCCCGGCTTACAATCATTCATTCAGTGACCATTTGAGGTTGATCAAAACTGATCACATGATCAAAATTCAGATGCTTGGCAACTAGTGGTTGCACATGACTCACGGCTGCAGTATCCTAGGGTCTTGTGATCACCTTTTGCTACCTTCTGACAAGCAAAGTTGATGAACAATCCAGATTCACTTAACAATGGTGATAAACTTTCAAATTCTTGTGCCATTATTGAAACCTTACGAGTTTCGCATCAAAATGCTAAAATATCACAATGACTTCCAAAAGTTTTTGAGAGTGGTATTGGCAATGGAGGTAAAATTACATGCTGCCACGTGGAAAGCATTGTCATGTTTCAGTTTTTCATGTGCCCAAGTATTCTAGTTATTTTCCTGCAGCAAAAACTAATGTCATAAAAACTAATGTAGGGTTGTGGAACGGCCATTAGGTAAGGGCATGTGGGGTGCATGGGGCATGTTCCCACCTCCCTTCCCCCCACCCTCCGCCTTCGCCTCCCCACCGCGTGTTGCTTGCACAGCAAGCAACCAGAAGAAATGGCGGGAACTGGCTGCCATGCATTTAAATATTTTAGGGAGGGCTTATTTGGAGGGGAGGGCTTATTTTAGCGCATGTGCTCAAAAGCCCAATTGGCCTTATTATCGGGGGAGGTCTTATTTTCAGGAAAATAGGGTATTGCAAGTTTAGTTTCCTTTATTGGTTTGCTGACCTATTCTTTTTTTAAAAAATCTATCTCAAAATTTGCATGTGCCTTGAGCATTTTCTCCAAAATGCATTTTTGTTTGAAATATTTCCCAAAGTATAGATTGTCACAATTTTCTCTAACAAAAGTATGTTGGCACATGGTCCATATTCGTGCAGACTTTCCTTTAATAATGATTTGTTTTAACTAGCAAACCACCATTAATAAACCAGTAAAAATGCAGAACATTTCAAAGCAGACCTAAGTTTGGTTTCATGTATTGGTCTGGAACATAAATTGAGTTCAGTTTACATAAGTGCTTTATGGACAGGAAGGCAGGATATAAACCGAAATAACAATAATAACATTGTGATGTAAACAAATCTCTCTCTCATGCCAGCTGTGAAGTTGAGCAAAAGACATGTCATGATATCCTACCCTTGAGAAAAAGCTGTGTTGGTGTTCTGATCTAGGCTTCCAAGAGCATGAAGCAAACTCCTTGTCCCGACAAAAAACCCTTTTATTAATTTACTGTGAATTCTGATCATTCATGTCCAGCTAAGTCTTTCAAGGGCAGATTTACAGTCACAGACCTTATCTGGCTTGGAGAGCTGACAGGCCAATATCTGCAAAACTTGGCAAGGAGTCTCAGAGAGCCACATATCAATTAAGCGAATTAATTGTCTCCTGCAAACTCCATTCCCCTTTCGCTCCTCTTTTATTTCCTCTGGGAGGGGCCATTCATCATCCACCTGTGACCTTACTCCCAAGTCGACCCTTGTTCCTTAGCTGTTCCCTTCATCTGACCACTCTGCGCATGCGTACACTGGGAACAGGCTCCAGCTGTTCATCTGTCTCATTGATGTTTGACTCTGAAGGCAGCTGATAACTGGCATACAGCACTGGCCCCCTCTCTGCCTCCGACACAGAGCCCTTGTCAGAGCCTTCCCCAAACTCCAGGACTGGCCCATGTTCCTCCCCAACCTCCTCACTGTCCGAATCTGCTGCCAGCTCCGCTGGTCACTGGCAGGCCACAATAGTTGGATACCTGCAGTAGAACAGGGTTGGGGAACGATGACCCTTTTATGACTTGTGGACTTCAACTGGCTCAAGAATTCTGGGAGTTGAAGTCCACCAGTCATAAAAGGGCCAAAGTTCCCCACCTCTGATAGTAAAAGGACATTTAACACAAGAATAACTAGACTGGTCATCACTCTTATTATTCTAGACATCACCAAGAAAAGGACAAAAAGAAACATGAAAATAGCAAGAGTTCTGTATTGCTAATAACTGCTTTATGACTTTTTCCATTGACCAATAGTTCAAAGTTTGGCTAACGTTATTAAAGCTATGTTAGGGCATAATTGCTGTGTTCACAAAACGTTACGACCAAAAATAAGCCATGTTATGGTTTACGCAGATGGTCTGGCTTACAAACTATGCTAACCAAACTGCTGGATCTCCCACAGCAAGCTGAACCACAAACCATTCAATCCTATTTTAGGCTAGTGGGCTGTGTAAATCCAGCTAACCCCATTACTTAAACTGTAGTTTCCAAATCACGAAAGAGATGGGGTTTTATCCGTGGAATATTTTTGAATTAGAAAGGTGTTAAGGCAGTGTTTCTCAACCTTGGCCACTTGAAGATGTCCAGACTTCAACTCCCAGAATTCCCCAGCCAGCATTCGCTGGCTGGGGAATTCTGGGAGTTGAAGTCTGGACA